ACATTTGCTCAGTCATAGGTATATAGTGCAACGGACCGTACAAATGTGTCTTAATAAGTATTTTAAATAAGAAAGCCTCCGGGCGCTTAAAAAATACACCTGCAGTTTCTTGCTCGCGCATTTAATAGGGCGTAAAGCTTTACAGTCGTTTCGAAATTACTTAAACTCGCGGCTTATCTTTTAATACTCGAGTTTCATTTCCAGAAAGTAGTCAAAACTGTCGTTGGTGTTATTAATGTTAATTACGCTAAGTTAGCCGGTTTTCATTTTGGAAAAAACAACAGCTGAAGTGCTTAAAAGTTACATAAAAATATAGGAACGGTAAAAAGTTCAAATTTGATTACTTGTAATAAACCCCTTTAAAAATCGAAAAAAAATAGTTTATTCAAGTATACAATTCAAGTATTTTTTAAGCGCCCAAAGGCGTTTTTATTTAAAATACTTATTAAGAGATCATTGTAGGATATTCGTTGTACATGGCTGAGTAAATTAAAATATATAGCTGAAAGTGTGAGTTGTAATTTAATTTAATTGTAACAATTTTAATTTATTAAAAATTTAGCGCAACTTGAAATTATTTTTTAATCCAAAAGTCATAACTTAATATTGTTATTAAACTTATTTAACTAATAAAAATTGTATAATTTATAACGAACCAATAAAAAAAAAAACATTATTTAGTTGAGAATAATATTTTACAACCTTACTAATTTCATTCTAGTTTTTATAATTTTCAAGTTATTTTTAATTTTCCGACGAATAAATTTATGTTATCATGTTAACGATTTAGTTTCTTTGTTAATAACAAAGAAGTATTATAAATTAGCCAACAATTTATAGTTTAATAATTGAACGTTCCATTAACTTATTTAAGTTCTATGCTAATATTAACTTAACAAATAAATATCAAACGTTAATTGGGTTACTAATAGACTCCATTCTACACTATTGAATTTATCTTTTATCTAAGAATAATTATACAATTTTGAACTGATTATCTTAAGTTATCTTTATGATTATGTAAATTACAATAAAAACTAACTATTTTAATTAACTCTAACGCGTTAATGGTCAGCCATGTGATTCAAAGGTTTGGTTTTTCCACAGAAGCAGCAATTGTAACAAGTAGGCTTTTCACAAAGGCTTGGTGGTAAAAAAAAAAATAAGAAAAGGATTCGCCATAAAGAAAATATACTGGCCCGAACCCAAAGTACAAATTATGGTCGGCCGACAACGACCGTTTTTTGATTGCCGATAACTGTCTGTGAGTTGGAGACATCTTTCTTTTTCTCCCCTTTTTTCAAAGACAACTCCTGAGCATAGCCTTTAAATTTATCCGTCCAGCCGTCGCCAGGTTTTTATTTCTATTTTTTTTTTTCCTCATACACTTTCCAGTACTTTTTCTGGCCGTCGTCGGTCGCATGCCGATAAATTCGATTTAGGTACTACCCGTTGCCGCCATTGTGACAAATGTAATTCGATAGCTGTTTACTCCTGTCCGCATTTGTAGGGGAAAAAAATAAAGGCGGTAAAAACTTTATTTTCTTCTTTTACCTCGCAACCATAGTGCGGCTATTGCGCTAGACCGTGTCGGAGCACCGAGACAAGTGTATAAAGTATTATTATTACTTAGGTATAGCCGGTGGTATACATTATATATTACACTTTAGCCGTCTTCGGGTTTGTCGCAACGAAGCGTGCCCCGTCGGCTAGTTTCATTTCGGTAGAAAAGTAAAAGGAGAAGACGTCGGGGAGAGAGCAGTTCACGTATATAGCGTTTTCCTGACCTTTGTTTTCCAATATGCCTTTTCTCCCGCTCTCTCACTCTCTCTCTCTCTCCAAGTAAAATATATATATTATTTTCGAAAAAGCTGCCAGCACTTTGGCATACCACCCTCCACGGCCAGAGCCACCCCCTCGGAAAACCCTAATGCGGTAGTGGTGCATGACCGTGGTCGCCTTCTCCGGTGTGTAATCTTTTGGAAAACGACAATTATTGGGTTTCGCGCGCGTTTCACTGGAAATTCCATTAAACGGTGTCGTCCCGCCACGATATAATCGACACACGCCAAACACCACCACAGAAGAAGGTTTTTGAAAAAGAAGAAGAAGAAGAACAGAAAAAAAAGGGACTTTCCAGAAATCGTTCATGCGAAAACGACCGGCCTACCCGTGAGACCGTACTCGACGCCAACGTATGACTTGTTAAACGGAGTGGCAAGTCAAGTCAGTTATATATATATGCTCGTGTGCTTAGCCCGAACTTCTCGATATGTTGTTATCGATCGCAGGACACTTGCTTTTGCCACGGTCGGCTGGGATACGTGTCTTGGATAAGTTTATCGAAACGGACAAAGCCCATTTATTCGTTTGCCAAAACCGAAATCCTCAAGTCCGGTCAGAGCCGGGCAGAGCTTAAGTTGTCGGACGAACGGACATGTCGCCGCCGACAAAAGAACACGTTTCTAGATATATTTATCTATATATATATAAATGTATGGTTGTAAAGGTTAAGCGAGAATAATCGAAAGACAAAAGCTTAACGATGGTTTATAGCTGTTGATGTTGTCGAGGCGTGCAAGGCTAATGATGACTCATCGAAGGAGTGTATACATTTCGTCTGGGAAGACACCGAGTAGGTAAGAGGTATTGTTGGCATTCTAAACGAGGAATCGTGGAATTTGCCACCAAACGGCCAGTTGATTGACTGTTATAATCAGCGTCGTCGGTTCAACATAATAAGTGATAATTACCGGTCGATTAGCTGTTATTTTATTATACACTCGAGTCTAGAAGATTATGTTCTGATATCAAATTTATTTTCCATTTAATAAACGGCAAGGTCGATGATGATAGTAATCTTCTTATAGTGTAATCAAGTTTACTGTTCTCTCGTATTACTCACCGATTAATAGGTCTCGCTACACTTGTAATTTTATTAAATTTGATTTATTTTTCATAAATAAGAATATCTATACAACGTAATAAAAAGCATAAAGCGGCGCTTTTCAGAAGAAAAATACTTGGGTGGATAATGTTAGAATGGAATAAAAAAAGTTTTAAAATAACGAAGATTTCATTCAACGTGTACAAGAACAGCTATCAAATTATTATAACTACAAGTAAAAAGAAAAAATTGCAGAGATGTGTACATTCGTCGCAATCCGAGAAAACTTGAAAATGTATCTGCGTTACCGACCAATTAAAATCAAGTGTGCCATTTCAATGTAATAACGATGAAAACCTACACACATTATATTATAATTCAATGCGAAAACGGATTCTGTTGACATTTAAAATTGTATATTTCACTTTCGAGCTTCTTTTTGATACGAAAACATTACCAACAATTCGAAAACCGATCATTAAGTCCAATTACACGGTTATATACATATGTGTATATTATGATACGGTGTTTACTCGCGGGGTATTGCGTTTATTTTGAATTATTGGAAAATAATACTGTAATACATTTCAATGTTCAACAACGCCATTTAGCATTTATGCAAACGCCTTGGACATTTTCATTTACGGCATGATAAAACTTAAAAAGATATACTCAACGATGGTTTTTTTTTAATGTCAGAATTGATATTAGAATAATTTGGATCAGTCATATCGCAGCCGGTCGATCGGTGTGATTTAATCTTATAAACGTTTATCTTTTGGTGCCCTACCGACCTTGCAGTGTATTTTTTAGGGTTTAGACTGGCCTTAATCTTAGGTTAATCCGATGGCATCGCCGCGACAACGGCGGTATTATATACAGTCGACCGGCGTTCAATTAAAGTGGTCTAAAAAAAATTAACTCCGGTTCGTAATTAATTATCGTTGAGGTGATTAAAGAGTCGCGAGACGGAAGACCGACGACTTGCAGCCGAAGAAAAGGAAAGACAACAGCTGACGGGTACTCTCCAAAGTGCTGGTACAAGATAGTAATAACGATGATTACATAAGAATATTCGCACCGGGTTCCTTTGACGGTCTTGACGTTTTTACTTATTGATCCCCTTCGCGGGTCCCTTCTTGTAAATCATTATCAACTGTGACAGACCCCTATAACCACCCCCCCCCCCCATCCCTCTCAATAGTATTAAGCCGTCGATTAAGCGTGTGACGACTTAACAAGCGGCTAAGGTACAGGTGCACAATATTCTAGTATATTATAATAATGTAATGTTCTACTTGGACATTGTGAGGGAGGTAAACAGTATAATATTCTTATTGTAAACACTAAGTCAGCGCCGAGACGAAGACAGGCGCACACGACGACGATAAGTTTTAACTATCCAAACAGTAATAATAATAACAATCATTACATTGTTATAAACTCGACGTCACGCCGTTATGGTGAACCTATTCTTGGTTTGTGGCTCTCTATCTGGCGCGCACACACTTCATCACTCTTAGCTTAGCTCGAGAGCGGTTTAATTGTTCCCACATTGTATTTGCTTGTACACAAAACTTCACCACACACACACACACATACAAAACGATTCGCCTAAGTACGTCAATGCACCTTATATACATTCGTTCGAGTGTGGCAGCATATACACACACAGCTGTATTCTCTCCGACTGTCTTGTGGCTGAAAGTTTCTTTGCTACCGCGGTCGTTCGCTTTTCAGACGACTTGTGCTCGCACGACAACAAATCGCTGTTAATGTTATTGGGCGCGCATTACTTTAACGAGGGCTCGACTAAGACAATCTGTGCATCTTATGGTGGTGGTTCATTGTGTCCGGATTACGTCCCTTTAAACGTGATTAATATGAAGCCCCCCACCCACCCTCTAAAAACTATAATAGCTTGTGAGTGATATGCGAATTAGAATTTGAATATGTATTTTTAAAAAGGTAAAAAGAAAAAAACATGAATTTAAAATGAATCGTGTAACACGTGTTTGCATAATTTTCAATATGCGATTTCTCCTGTTGACACTGTCAAATGATATATTTTTGTTTTTTTTTTTTTTTTTAATACATTTTGTAAATTACTTACCAACTTTTTCGGACCAGGCGACGAGTTTGAAGTTTCGGAATCAACACCGTGCTGCGCCGTGCAAGCTCTTCAGAGTACTGAAATATTTAAAACACAAGTTTCAATTATACATGTACATTTTCGAATGCTTAAGTTAGTGTTCAAAATTTGTATTGCCACGCGAGCTAACCAATAAACGACTAATAATAGCAATAAAAAAATCAAAGTACAGAAATTCAAATTCAAATCTTAAAAAAAGCTCACACAAAGCATAATATTGTAAAGGTTAGTAAACAACAGTTATTAATAAAATGCTTTAGTCATCTAATTGTATTTGTTTGCAGATGGTCAGCCTACAAATTAACTTATTACAAATTTAAGACAAATTGGGATTTGTCACTAATGATTTAGCTGGCTAACCCTAATTGTTTGGGATACGATTTAGATGAAGAAGATTTACTTTTTCACTGGGTGAAAGACGACTTGAACTAACCAAAACAGCGTCAACACGGGTTTGTCCCAGTTTTAAAAAAGAAAAATTGTTCTTATTTTCAACGTTTTCGTTGCCTCTCTAAGTTGTTTAAAATTATTTACACTTTTAAGTAATCCCACTGATTGAACGCTATGATTATTGTCCAATCTACAACACTAATTCGATATTTGTCCTCTTTTTATACAACAAACACTGTTCTTCGCTTATGATTTACATTGACACATTTAACGTTGGCATTCAAGTTGACAATTTTGGACCCGTTTTAACACACACCCTATACCGAGTTTTGAACTGTGAACCCCGTCGGCCCGTTTTCCCTGTTGCTGCGGTACGTTCCATACGGTACGGGCATAAATCAAATCAAACAATATAATAATAATATGTTATATATATATATATATATATAGAGAGAGTTATTATATTATCGAACTGCGACGGTCTGGCGAGGAGTCTGCGGAAGAGAAGACGGGTTTTGCAAACACAAAATATACACAAATTATTATTATCCGCTTCCTTAACGAACCGGATATCGCGGCCGGGTCAATATCATCTCGTTTTGTCGGTCCTCTCCCTTTCTTCAACTGCTGGTGTTTACTTAAAAATTACACACACACACATATTGTGTATTCGGCGCATCCTCCTCCGCCGGTGAAATGAAATGAAAACGAGGTTTTTATAAAAATCCAGCAGAGGCATGCACACACATCATTGATCATGTCAACAGGGGAAACACGAATAAGTATAATAGTAATAATATACCGCGGCTATACATCGTGCCCCCGATAAATCTCTGCTGGAAACCATTACTCTGGTGCACGCAAACACAGTCACACACCGCGGTACACTCTGTATGTACTCTGTACACTCTGTATATACTCTGTACACACACTATGCCGCTTGCCCGCAGACGTTAACGCGTTGGTTATCATTAAGTACAAGACGTATACATTTGAGTTATCATCGTCGAAAGACATTCGTGGTTCGCGAGTATTTTCTATTCTTTCTTGTCTTTTTTTTTTTTTTCATTATGATCATTCCCCCTCTAAAGACCACCTCTTCACCCTTGTTCTACGGTTCCCTCCCTCCCCTCACCCATTCTGTCCCTCGTCAGTGATAAATATCGTGTGCGAGATATTCTGTAAAAACTACACAGAATTTTTTTTTTTTTTTTACTTTATTTCACCGCCGCCGGAATGAATAAAACATTTTTTTTTGCACAATACAAGTCACACAAAGGCGACGGGGAGGAAAATTTGTCGTTAACGTCCGAGCGAGTCGTTTGAAGAGCCAAATTGCCAAAAAAAAAATACCAACTTCGTTTATTGACTATTATTATTATTTCATAATATACTAAATGAAAAATATTTTGTCAGGGCAAAAATAAATGGTTTTTAGGGGTGAAGTGTAAACCATAAACAATAAAAAAAATGTTGTGTGTGTGGTATTGTTTCAATGTTTTAATCGTTTCTATATCTGAAACAATTAAATTAACGCCAAAAAATTTTAAAAATTGGCAGACACATTTTTTAAAAAAAAATTTACAGCATAAATCCTTGTCAAAGCTCACTTTATTGGAATTTTTAGTTATCCAAACAAAATTGCCCGTTCAAAAATCAACAATGCACTTTCTTCATTTATTTTTTTTATTCAAAGTTATTCAAATGTATGAAGTTTGACTATGATTATGTATGTGCTGCGTGTTATACATATGACAATAAGAGAGTTATTTTATTACATAAAACGGTTAAAGTACATAAACCGATAAATATTTAGCCGCATCCACTGCTACATAATAATATTGCATACATATATTGAACAGCTACACAATAACGTGCTGGTATTTTTTTTTCTTCAAATGAATTGGTTAAAACTTTTCCTAGCAAATTATCGTTTTTAATGAATGGACGATTCGCCCGCATAACGGTTCTGAGAATATTCTATTAAACTCGGTTACTGTTAACTTTGGCATGGAAAAACAAACATATATTATTTAAAGAGCTTTTTGTTATTATTATTTATTCAATGCGATACTATTGAAATACCCTTTTGGCTACTACTACCTACCCGCCAGGTGTATATTAATTCAAAATTTGTCCAGCCCCACAAAGGTTCTGGGAACGTTGCGTGTACATTCGGTTTACTTTTTTATCGTTTATATATTAAACGAGGATTGGAGTATCATTATTTATGCATAACGACATTATTTATGTATGACTTTTGTTCAATTCGAATAACTTAAATTTAACTCGGTTTATTTAAACGGTTTTCAAACGCATTTTCCGGTATTCAAATGGCGATATTGTACTGCAGTTGCAATAATAATAATAATAATAATAAGAAAACAATAACAAACTTTCTTGTATGGTCGAACGTCAAACGCAAGCAGCAACCACTATACCTACCTTCAACGATAGCACAATAATAATTGTTTTAAAGTCAATTATTTCATCCCTCGCTAGTGGAACTTGTTTCTGAGAAGCTCGAGGGTTTCGGAACGTTTCTGGAAGGGCTCTTCCTGCAAAGGGGTTAGACTATTTCAACCCAACCGGGGGAGGGGTGGAAATTCTTGAGTTAACCCGTTTGTGTGTGTGTTAATATAGTATATTAAGAACGATTGTACCTACACACACACACACACGAATCCGAATATAAATAAACGTCTCTTGCACACAATATAATACAACACACCCTCGAGAAACGTTTGCCGATTGCCGCTGGACCGTGTGGCTGTGTGTATTCCAGTCGGATGAGCCATGCATGCATCTGTGAGGTCATTTGTGTACTACTGCACACAAAAAAAAAAAAGGGGGAAACGATATTGACTTGGATCTCTACCCAACCCTGCCCGCATGTCATTACCCTTCTGTTAAACCAAGCGTACGTCACGGTGGAATCGTTCGGAATGCTCTCTTTCTGTGCATTGCTCCAGTGGTCTACCACAAAAGATTTCTATATACATAATATAGAAGCCAATATATAGGTATACTCGTAGCTCACAACCTCCCTTCCCTCGTGCACGTGCTAAGCATTTGCAAGTTAAAGACGCTGTAAAAAGAAGGCGCAATGCTTTTAGCTGTTATCGTTGATAAAACCAAAAATGCTTTACCAATATTATATTTTATCACCCTGTACAATGTGAAGAAAAAAAAAACATAAGATACAAGCTTGTTAATCGAGTGAAAGTCCCTCGAGTGTGGTCATTTTTTTTTTTCAATGTGGTTGGGGGGCGAGGGTTGAGGAGGTTTTTTACCAGTTTACTTTTTTCGCGTCTGTCCCGCAGGAACAAAACAGCACAATAATAATATATACAGATATATTATATTATAACGTTAAAGGTCAAACTTAAAGGGTAATGCCGCACGAGGAGAACTGACAATCGACACGCACACGCGACCAAACCGAGGGCGTACACGCGATTCTTTGCAGTGAGGCGGATAAAACCGGATGGTTGGGGGTGAAGGGGGTGGAACTTATATATATATTTTTTTTTTAATTGAAAGATTATAATTGCCGTGCAAACCCATTAAAAACCGAGTGCGGAGTACCTGCTTATTACGACTGCGATTTTTATGGCCATAATCTATTCCTGTTTTTTTTATTACTTCACTCTACCTATGCCCTCGGTGCTTTTTTCTGGATAAAAACAAAACACAAACTTACCGAAATACAACAAAAAAAAATTCATCCCTCCGACATTTCTCACCTACAACCGTCGCCCGAAATAATAATAATAATATGTATAATAGTAATGCGCGTGCAACGGCGACGTAGCGTGACTTGGAGTAAACTTTTTGGAACTAAAGGGTAGTAAACATTTACCGAGGCCGGGTCTAAATAAATTTAAGTCGAATTAATTTTGACTTTGACTTTTTAGTTTCCCTATTAAATATATTTATGACTAATCCGAAAAACAAGCGCATTCATTTGAAGTGTGAACAAATTTCAAAAAGACTTTGGTGATGTCAACATCAGCTTCTAACCGGACTAACGCTAAGTGAAGTGATAATTTAACTACTGGTTTGTGCTAATAAAAAGTTAATTAAAATAAGCAACACTACTAGACTACAATTTGCTATCAAATTTTTATCAAATTTAACGAAAATAAACGGTTGAACATTACTGAACTCGATGAAAATATTATTGTAAATGGATTACCATACTTTATTGTAAAACAATGAACTTTTTAAATCTTTTTTTTTTGATAAATTGTTCCGTCGGAATATTTTTTTAATTTTCAAGTTACAAATGGAAAAAGCTTAAAGACTCAATAGTATGTTTAATAATTTATTCGCCTAATAGTTTATGGCGTTTTTCTAGATTGTAAAATTATATTAAACAAACGAGCATGCCTACAATTAGTATTTTGACGGGGAAAATGTATTTAAAATGATAATAAATGGGTATAATTTGCAATGTACGGGGAAAAATAACATTGTGCTCAAACAGGAAGACAGATTTTTTTTTTTTACTTGTCTTAAACCCATTTGCAGCGGGATCCAGTACGGTGTCGAAAATAACGACCACCCTAATACATGTATTGCGCTACTATATTAAGTTATTCGTGTCGAATTCGCTTTTATATAATATATACGATTCGACGCAACA